CTCAACGGGTAATTCACTGTTTGCAGCTCTAACTGATCAGTTCCGTCAAGCAATTCGTAAACACATGATCCTGGAGAAGATGAATGATGATCAATAGAAGATCCTATTAGCATATGACCCATGAGTGCTATATGGCACACTTCAACCAAGAAAAGGTATAGCACATTTCAACAAAGAGATTCTTACAATGATATAACTAAATACTAATAAAGAACCATGGAGGGTGTCATGTCCCTAGCATGGGCACTTGAAAAATGGAAGGAGGACTTAGTGTCCCAAATCGAACTCTCCCAGAATTCTAAATCTTGTAATGAGAAACAAAAGAGGTAGCAAAGATGATAAACCCTCTCACATGCGAGGCAAAGAAGCAGGAAGCAAGAATAGTAGGATATACTATCATTGATAGACAAGGCAAAAGAAATGACTGTAATGACATTGACTGATAGACAAGGCAAAAGAAATGACTGTAATGACATTGACACACACATATATATATATATATATAAAACCTCTTCTTATCAAAACTCGAACTAGTTAGCATCTTGTGGTAAATGGCTTCAGAATATACAAGCACTAAAAACATAACATAATATAGACAAATGTTGTAAGTTCCATAATGACCACAGTCATAAAACGGAAGATTGCATTACTAATTGAATTACTAAAAAAGGATACCTCCAGAAATTCCTCTCTCACAGAGCTACTTAATGAATAATTAGGAAGAAAACAATCAGCGATGTTGGACTCAACAAGGCCGGCCCAGATAGAAGCCCAACCGAACTAGCCCGTAAGCATAGTGATGAGGTCGAGGAAAGCCAGATCACGAGGAGAAACAGGGGGAGAGGCCGAGTTTTCAGGAAGAAAAAGTGGTATAAAAGAAGAAGAGAGAAGAGCAAGGGAACACACGTGAAACCTTAGAGACTTACACCAAACACATTGACATCGACATCGACCTCAAACTCTCTGATTCAATTACTTTTTATTCGATCCTTATTTATTGACAGTTGTATTTCGATCTCTTTCTATCATTTTATCGAATTAAACCTTATAAGAAAGTCTATTTTCATCAACCGGAATATGATTACATTTGTGGATGGATTAGTTTTTTTAGGGGCCGGTGGAGGTGGGATATAGAATTTTTTTTAAAAGAATACTAAAGATTTTTATTTAAAGTTTTAAAACTAGTTCAAGAATATTTTCGAGTTGTTCTAGCCTCGCAACAGTTAGCACTGATCTGGTCCACTCGAGTTTCCAGATCCTCCATACATTTGCTTATCCATCCAATACTTATGTTCAGCGGGTAATAAGTTGCATCCAACCGTCTACATAAGTCATCAAACATCTTCTCTTAGGTTGTAACAACTTCAGCTATCATATCTTCAACATGATCTATCCTGATAAATTCATGTGGATTCCCATAGCTCTATAAAGTTCATGACAATGTCCATCATATTGCGTGTCTTACTAGCTCTAAAAGATTTTTTGTAATTCCTCTAAACAATTTATCGTTTCGAGCTTTATAGAGATTTTAATATTTTAAATGCACATTTCTCGTAAAATAATCATGTAATATATTTTTAAAATTTTGTCAGAAAAATAAATAGCTACAAATCATTAATTTTAGAATTCTTAAATTTATAGTGCTAATTTTTTTTTCTTTGTCAACGGAAAATTCAATTAAAGAAAAGCAAGTCAAACGACTTGTCTTGTGCCAAAATTTTTAAAAAGAAAATAAATTAAGAAAACTTGTTTTCTTAGACCAAAAAAATGGTAACATTGTCCCTTTAGATTAATCTTATATACTTTATGTCCCATTAGACTAAATATTTTCTAAATGGCAATGATGTCCTTAATTTCAAATAAAAATCGTAAAAAGAAAAAAAAATCCTCAAATTGGAAAAGAAAAAAAAATGAAAAGTAAAAGCTGCTCCATCCAACGGGATCTCGATCGATCCCCAAAAAATTCAGCTGATCTGTATGGTCAATCCCAAAGCATTTTTTTTTACTTTTTAATGAAAAAATTGATTTTTATTTATGGAAATTGAATATTTATAAATATTTTCTTTTCATATTTTCGGGAACTGAATATTCTTATCAGTAGAATACAATATTAATGTTTGAAATCAAGTTTTACATGTTTTAGATCTATTATTATAAAGAAATGTTCTCCCTCATTTTACAGTGCCACGTCACTAATTAATTCATCCTAAATGCGACACCTGTCTTTTTCTACAAAACTCAGTGTTTCATTAAACAAAAGGTTATTTGTGGGCTTATGTTTATCATACGAATTAAAGCCCACAACCTCAGAAACCCTTTTGTCTTCTTCATCTTCACGCCGCAGTTAGACTTCTTCCTCTTCGTTGTCCAAAACCTAGAATATTTTTTTCTACCAACTATGTCACCATCAATGGCGTCTCTAGAGATTTGATGACTGAAATTCGACTTCAAGCATCTCTTTCTTTGTCTTACTCGCATCGTTTAGCTTTCACGACCTTAATTGCATATTTAACTCCACAGATCTACTTGAAGCACGATCTAACATTGATTGTGATTATCCTATACAAGACGTTTTATTCTATACCTATAAAAGGTTAGATTTTTTCATTTAAACATCATCCTCGGAAAAGCTCTCTTCGAGTTCTTATCATGTTTTCAATCTAAGAAAATTTAGATTCTTTATTGGTTTCTTGCTATTCTCTTCAGTTAATAATTTCTTTGTTTATAATCTTCATTTTTATGTTCTTTGAGTTACTTATAACTAAATCGTTTATGATTTTGCAGGATATTCTAAGTCT